TGATCTCGCAGCGCGTGGTGAGCGCTGACGGCACACCTTCGACACGCACGCCTGTCACGCACGGCCGTCACGCGTATCTGTGACGCAGCTGTCACGAGAGGACACATGTCGGCTCGGCGGAAGTGACCCACCTCCCATCCTGTGTCTGTGGCCTGAAACTATGAGGTGTCAGGTCTAAGGTCCTTGGTTCAGCTGCAGTTAGCCCCTGCTCAGTACATGGTTCCAGACGCAACGTTCTTCCATTTTTGTTTCCATTTATGATATCCCGTGCCCCTGGTCGCGCCTCTGCAGACACCCGCCCCCGGCCGCTACTGGGCGCGCCTCTGCACCTGGAGGAACGACGACCCGCCTGGTCACGTGACAAGGTGTCGACGGACACAGATATCACTGGCTGATCGCGCTGTTAGCGAGCGTCGTCAATCAGCCCTGCCTGTTACAGCTCGCTACGCTATTTGAGCTGCTAATCTGGCTCCATCTTGCTCCAGTCCCTCCTACGATCCCCTGAGAAATGGACGCCGAAATCATTAGCTCACGCGTCGTTAATATCAATTTTTCATAAATCTTGTGCGTCATCAATCGCGCTCCACATGTTACGTCGGCCGCTATCTATTTCTGCGTCGGCCGGAATGACGAACGTGTAGACCGCGGCAAACTGCTTTGGAAACGTGCAACGAGAAATAGCGTGCGGCGCAAACTGGAAAAAAACGCAACGTAAGTAAAACGCAACGTCACATAAGCGCAACAAGACCTTTATCCTGAGCGCGGGGATCCAGCGCCCGGTTTGTTTCGCCTGCGCAGCACGTGTAATATAATTAGATTGGAAAATGGTTGTGGCTGGATTCCTCATGGCATTCAGCCATGGCTGTATCAGCTGGAAATATAGGTGCAAATTTTAAAATTTTCCTGTGGAAACCTGACAATACGAACCAGAGAAAAAAACGAGAAAGCTTGAAAGCCTGGAAAACCGGAGAAATCCCGCTTCCAGCAGCGTTTGGCGTCGCGCGAGTCTGGCGCGTCGACACCCGGGACGCGCCAGCTTCGCCTCGTCGCCAGCCCGCTCCGCCCACATATCTCCCGCCAGCTGACGGCTGTTGTCCGCGATGAGGTGGGAACGACACGGCTGAGTGCGACAACGGCGTACAACTGTTTGTCCAGACCGGCGTCGCTGCCAGATGAATCCAGTGACGTCACATTTGGCAGCCGGCGGGCGCAGAAGCAGTTAAAGCATGCCAACTGCGATGCGCCGGTGCCTGGTCTGAGAGCACTGGCAGTTTTGCTGCGGTTTTTACCGTGGCTCCAGTCGTGGCTGGTCCGCGTTGTTTCTCCGCTGACGCGGTTACTAAAAATGTCACGGGTTAATGCACGTACTCAGACAGGCTGGGGCAACGCTGTAAGCTATGCCAGTGACATACGAGCCTTCCTTTTGCCAGGGTGAGCACGATCTCTTCGTGGCAAGCTTTCAGGGTTGTTCGCATTTTGCCGTCGTGTCCATGACGCCCGTCCAAAAATCGGAGCCGGCCAAGCTCACAGTCCGGTCACAGGTCATGTGACGTCATCAGCTGACCCAGCCAGCTATTGGTGGAGGCGGCATCCGTCGTCGCGCGAACCCTTAAGCATCCTTCGAATGTTTCTGCGTGTTTCGTGGCATTTAATGCTAGACGTAATGAGACATTGCTGGCACATATCCCCTGGTGCTATGTGCTACGGCCTCAGCAAAACAGTGAGGATTTGTGTTCTTTCACAGCCACCTCGAAACACTCGCAGCACATTTGGCGAGCGACCAGCAAAAAACAGGCTAACCGCTAAGTGTGGTCGAAAACTATGGTTTCTGGAAGCAAAGATAGTAATGGCCGGCTACCTTCGCCAGCCAAGAGACCATTTTTACACGTCGGTCGGTAAATCCGTCTGCAGCCTGTCTTACAGCTGTTTAAAGCCACATATTAATGGGAACCAGCAACCCAACAAGCGGTCCGAGAATTTTGCTGGCTGGTAAGTGACTGTCAAGCTTGTGTTCGCGGTAATGCAAGGGCTGAACGTCTGTCGATGGGGTCCTGGAAGTTGCATCACATTCCAATCATACTGAGGTGTTCACATTCCAATCATATTGAGATGTGACTCTCCTCCCCTTGACTGCAGCGAAGTCGGACATGTTTGTGTAGTGCTTGGGACCAGGTGCGTCATTCAGTCGGGTCTGTCAGAGTCTATACGCCAGAAGATGGAGAAGCCAGCTTCCGAGCACTGAACTGTTGGCTCCGAGCAATTGAAACAACTTATTTGTCTTACCCTTGTCTTGCTTTGCTTAAGCTCAACTTGTGAAGAGGTCCGTTTGCTTTAAGTTTAGACTCGTGCTTACGTTTTGTTTGGTTAGTGATCTCAAGGGACAAGCATAAACCAACACTTACAGTACACTGATTTTAAAGCCAGCCTTAAGCACATCGTCCGTGACACAGTTCTGCTAAGCTAACCAGCAGCCAGTGTGCATCGCAGACGATGGTCTGTTCTGGCTTTGGAGTCAGTGCGCGTGGTAAGCAGAAGCTTATGCACGCTCCTGGGCGCAATAGCCAAGTAAATGAAATTACAATGCGAGGAATGACTCATCGCTTGTGTTCCTTTAACCCGTTACATCTGGGGTCATAACAGTGTCATAACGCGGGCGGTCTTAGCCCTGTAAATGCCCTGTCCCTGTCCCTGTCTCTGTCCCTGTCCCTGTCCCCGTCTCTGTCCCTGTCCCTGTCCCTGTCCCTGTCCCTTTCCTGTCCCTTTCCCTGTCCCTTTCCCTGTCCCTGTCCCTGTCCCTGTCCCTGCCCTTGTCTTTACCCATGCCTCTGTTCCTGCACGTGTTCCTGCTCCTGACAGACGTCCGTATATCTGTTCTTCTTCCAGCCCTCATTATATACCAGCGATCAACACGGCAAGATTTTTGACGGAAAACCAATTAGTTTTTTGGTGGGTCGGCCGCTGCCTCGGTTCGTTGACCTGGGCTTCTTGTGCAGGGTTTTTGTGGGTGCCCCCGAGGGCACGGACGGACAATCAGCGGTCTGCTGCAGAGGGGGGGGGGGGCGCCCCCCAACCTCCTGATGCTGAGTGTGCCCGGGCGGCACGTAATCAGGCCAGGCTGGGAGATCAGAGATGTGAGATGGGATGACGCCCTGTTGGGTCTGTCCTGTCCGGTCTGTCCGATGATGAGGCACGTCTGAATATGGGATAGCCGATATGATAAGGCCGTCCGAAGGTGGCCTTGTGATGAGGTACCTCTGAGGATGAAACAGTTATGATGATAAGGCCGCCCGAAGGTGGTTTTTGTGTCGAGGCATTTCTGATGACGTGACAATCCTGATGATGGGATCACGTTATGTGTGATATGCCGGTGATACAGTCTTCGACTTGGATGGTGATGCGATCTTGAAACGAAGTCATTTGGTGATAATCTGAAGAGGCCACTGAAGCCGATGCTGTCATGACAACCTGACAATCTGATGATGATCTCATCACACGACATTTACATTTATGGGACAGTCCTGGCGACGAACCAGCCTGATGATGCCACTGATAATGCTGCAGTCCCTATGAAAATGTCACCTGATGATGAACAGATGATGATGATAATAATGGGTATGTTGGTGAGGCAAGCCCAAACACAGGGTCACCTGATAACGGCCACAGTCCTGATGCTTATTCCACCTGGTGATAGAGCTGCCCATGATATTGCAATGATCATCATGAGAGCTACTGATGATGATGACCTGATGATGACCTGGCGAGAGCTGCTCGGTGATCTGCCGTTGCCGTTGCTTCATGGTCTGACAGTGTTGAGCTGGCGCTCGCATGCTGGTAGCGCCCAGAGCTCGAACTGCGTCATCGACAAACAAAAGCTTGGCACCATCTTTGTGCTAGCGTTGTGACATGCATATTGCATGCACCAATTAATCATTCGAGTTAACTACTTCGTGATGAAACAAGGCTGAGGCCGACAATGTCTCGGGGGAGAATAACACTAATTGCCGCGTATTGTCCGCTCTGTTTTTGAGTGGCGCCGTTCGAGCCGATAACAAGCCCCGCTGTGCTGTACTGGCTCGTCTCCCAGCGGCGTCCGGTTGTCTTCAGCCCCACCTGACACGCGACTTCACCCTCCGCCACTGTGAGACGCTTGCCTCCAGCCTCCGCTCGGCCTGGCTAACCGAGTTAGCTGGCGACCCCCGGGGCGCGCACGGGCGGAACAATCAGCAGCGCGCCACATCCGTCTCCATCTGCGCCAGGACGCGCAGCATCTGTCAGCGGCGTTCCCGGCGCACGGGCGCTTCAGCGCGCGGTGTCCGGTTACTGGGCTGCGCCGGGTCTTCTCGGTGGCGCCGGCGCGGCTAGTGCGTCGCGTCCGCCGTTCGCGGCGCCACAAACACGCATTGGTTCAACGCGGCTTGAGCGGGACGCTGTGAGGAGGTTGGCACGTTTGGACGCGTGAAGGCGGTCGTGATTGGGGTTTTGTAAATGGCTGGTGGAGCTCTGTGCATAAAAACGGCAGACACGCAGGGTGGCAGTGTTTGTCACGGGTCCGCCATACCGCTTGCTGTGGTTCCACGCAGTTATCCTCCACGGCACTTCACGGCGACGTAATCAGGAGTGATGACGTCACGCATGAGCGATTGTTTGCTTGTCCCAGCTCGCGAGCAATGTTGCGCATTTTGCGTAATTATGTATTTTTTATTAGATTATGTTTATATTTTATGTTTCGTATTTTACATTTTATATTTTATGTTATATTTTTATATAAATATTTATTTACATTTAATTGTATTATATTTTAGGCACCAACTTGTACGCTGCGTAACATTGTTAACTCGCAGTATCGTACAACATGCCTGTTATCACTGTTGTGCACCTGTTAACTTCTGAGCTACCCACGCAACCGCGTAGCAGTTCGTACTTTGTGACCCCGACCCCGGTTGACCTCTGCTAATTTGTGACCGCCGCCGACCTCGACCTGACCGCGGTCGTTCTCTCCCCAGGACCACCGGGCAACAGAGGTCGGAGAGGTCGGCATGGACGTCCAGGGCCACGCGGACCGATGGGACCCATGGTCAGTTCCCTGCTGTGATCCGGAGTGACGTCATCGTATCGTGACGTCACGGCGGCGCCACGTCACGTCAGCTGTTGGTGTTTCGGGGTGCCATGCACTGGCGCCGTTGTTGCCATGCTTACGGTCACGTATTTGTGCAGCTGTCGGTCCTCGTGGGCTAGACGACGCTGTCGATGAGGTGAAGACCGCAGACAAGCATAAGCCAGATCCAGCTTATGCTTGCCCGCGCTCCTTTCCTCACATATCATCCACGTGGCTGTCACCAACAGCCATCGTCCCGACACTTAAGTGGCTTGTTTGGCTGTTGGGTCGCTTGCAGCTACTTAGACTCGCTGGCACAGGCTTTAGATCCGCAGATTGCCGTTGTAAATATGTGTCGCTTTTCATGTGCTCCCCGCTATTGAAGCCGTCTCGCCAGTGCCGCCTACGTCTCGTTACATCCCGTCCCCACCCTCCACTGCCGCTGGCTGTGATACCATCTGTGTACGGAGAGCCACCCGACAGCCTGTAGATCACCACAAACGCAGCGATCTATCCTGCCACCTGATATTCCGCTCAGCGGTTCCAGCGGCCCGGTCGGTCCCGAACGGCCCCGGATATCACTCGATCGGGGCTTTTTTGTTCGTCTGCCGCATCCTCCGGCCAAGCATCCGTGACTGCTGATGCCGTGGACTCTCACGATGATGTCCTGACTGCTGACTCCTGACGATGTGCTCCTGACTCCTGACGATCCGGTCCCGACTCCGGATGCTCCGGTCCCGACTCCTGCCGATCTGGTCATGACTCCTGATGATCCGATTCCGACTCCTGGCAATACGATCCCGACTCCTGACGATCCGGTCCCGACTCCTGACGATCCGGTCCCGACTCCCAACTGTCACGGCTCGATCAGCATCGTTTGACTCGCTGTCCATGACGAGCCCATGTCAGGGGCATTCTTACCACTACTCACTGCAAGTTTTCCAATTCCCTTGATTTCGGTATGAAATCACGATGCTCGCGTTTTATAAAGGCTCCATTCAAGAGCCAACGGCGTCACGTCAAGCGCTGTTAAAGCAGCATTCATACCGTTCAAACCGTGCTTGATGATGCCTGCTAGTGTTTTTACCCTTTAAATGGTGGCATAAATGGCGGCAACGTCGCCCACCAAAGCCGTTACTATGACATTACCGCGGCACGGCGCCACGCCGGGCTCGGTGCCAAATGTAGGCACTGAATTTCACTAAAATTCTGGACGGAGCTGCGGCATAACAAAAATCTGTCAGTTTCAGTTCTTTACTGGATCGCAATTCTCCGATCACTACCAAACGATATTCACTAATTTCCAGTCCCGTTCCTCTGCATCCCGTTCCTCTTTTCCGTCTGCATCATCCTGTGTTCGCGGAGTAATATCACCACAACCCTCGTGAGCCTTGTCCCACCACTCAATCCTTCAGTGTTTAGCTTAGCTTCTGCACCCTTTACGGGAGTAACAACTGGCGTAGCTGGGGTATGACTCCGTCTGCAGGTGTTTGTTCAACCGCTTTTAACGCCGCCGTCAGCTGGCTGTGTTCGGGCGACCCCGCCCCGTTTGCACGATCGCCGACTCCACCGATCTGGCTGTGGAGTGCTGAACCGACCGCCGACTCCACCGATCTGGCTGCGGAGTGCTGAACCGATCGCCGACTCCACCGATCTGGCTGCGGAGTGCTGAACCGATCGCCGCAGGGCTTTTGTAGCTGGCTCACTTTCTCCGCTCTTCAGTCCCTAAAAATTAGCATTTCAGTGGACGGAACGCGGCGATGCCACTGCTGTTTTCGTGCATTTGTAAGCCGTGCTAAGACACTGAGCTTCCTTGCGGTTCGACCTTAGCCTTTGGCCCCCACGCATGATTACGTGGATTTGATCGCTTTATTTGCCATCCTTCACATTGCTATGCTGTCGCGGCAGTGCTTTCTTTGCACTTTTCTTGTAATTCTCGATTTCCTGGCACATGAATACCGCACGTTCTTCATCATCTAAAATGACAGCGGTGAGCCAGACTTACATCCTGGCTGCGAAATTCCAGAGGAGAGTCGTCTGAATCACAGTGCAAACGGGGCGGGCTCGCCTCGGCCACGGTCTGTCGCTCGCTGTCTGTGGCTTCACGGCGGCTGCCCCCTGTCTTTGCAGGGACCCCAGGGACCCAAAGGACAGAACGGATTCCCAGTGAGTATCGGGGCGCCGGGGTGTGGTGAACGGCACTGGCGCGGAGCTGATGTTGATGATGTTGGGAGCTGCTGTCACGCTGGCTGACAGAGTACTCGTGTAGGAGTCGAGCTTTCGTCAAGGATTTATCTCATTGTTCAGGGAGTGGTCAAATCGAGCAACTGGGTTTTGTAACATTTCGGGAGATGCTATGCTTCTGTGGAATTTTTTGTTTCTGATTTCTTTGTGACTTTTATGGGTCTTGAAATAGTGTGTTACGCAAGGAGACATACTGCCGTATGCGGTACTTAAGTAGAAAGATATGATGTACTTGTGTCTACCTACAGAGCACAGACGGAGCTTCGTGTTCAGGCAACATAAATAAGTTTAGCCTCTCTAACGTGCAGGCCGGTCCGACGCCAAATTGCTTGCCGCTTTAACGTGGCTGCAAACCAGACCACGGGTGCTACAACGGTGGCTAAAGACCACCTGGTTAGCCACTCGCCTCTCCGGCAGTCCTGTACCACAACGGTGGCTAAAGACCACCTGGTTAGCCACTCACCTCTCAGGCAGTCCTGTACCACAACGGTGGCTAAAGACCACCTGGTTAGCCACTCGCCTCTCAGGCGGCCCTGTACCACAACGGTGGCTAAAGACCACCTGGTTAGCCACTCGCCTCTCATCTAGTCCTGTGCCACAACGGTGGCTAAAGAACACCTGGTTAGCCACTCGCCTCTCAGACGGCCCTGTGCCACAATGTAACCCGGGTCATCCCATAAGCGGCCCGTCTCGTCGGCCCATCCCGTGCCGTTTACTGCTGACGGCGCCACCGGCGCATTGTCGGCGGCGGCTCGGCGGCGCCGGGTGGTCCCCGCGGGGATCGGACGGCCGAGATGGCCTCGTTTGGCGGCCGCCGGTGTGGCGGCAGATCGGGGTAATGGTCACTGGCTGGGCGTGGGGACCGGGGACTCCTGTCGAGCCCGGGGTCTGACCCGTGCCCTGCGGGGAAGGGGTCTGTGTATGTGTGCGTGTTAGCAGGAGGGTGTACGTAGACCGGAGCGGTGATTTGTGGCGGTGTGTTGGAATCAGTAAGCTTTCGAAGGGGGTCCTCGGTGAGATCCCTGGGAGGAAGAGGAGGTGGAGTGGTTATTAAGACATGGGTAGCATCAACAGATTTGGTCAAATCCGAGCATTATCTGATAATGAAAGCAATCTTTGTGAACACAACTTGCAAAATTAACCGTCAGTCGCCAATGATATAGATGAGTCGTCGTCAGTGGGTATTAACGACACACCAAGCTGCTGGGGCTATACGGCGTCGTCTTCCCTGGCAGGAGGAGTGGGTACCGCGGGGAATCGAACCCCGTACTCCGGCTTTCCCAGACGCCCAGTGTAGTCACTTCACTATCGACACCCTTAACATAGGCAAGCACTGTGTTACCATGCCGCATTCAAAGGTCACCCAAAACGACTGGATTCTTTGGCTTTTAAAATCTAAGCAGTGCTCATTTTGGACGTGTTTGAATTTTAGTATACGTCATATATGTATTTCTACGTGATCAGGAGTCTCCGAGATGACTCGAGGCTGACAGCATTGTGCTGGACCCGGCCATGGCCGTTCGAGTGTACATGTATGCGTCCGACGGCACACACCGCAGCCACCGTTTCATCCCATCGAATGCGTTTGCAGGGACGAAAGGGATCTCCAGGGTATCCAGGCTTCCCGGTGTGTAAACCTAGCATAAGTCTTCTTCGGTTGCGGCCTGGTTCACCGCTGCGCGCTTAACTCCTCACTCATTCACCGAACTCGGAACTCCTCTCTCACTCACCGAGCTCGGATCTTGGCTTGCGGTGAAAAATCCGTCTCGTTTGACGGCGGAAAACTGTGAGCAGAGAGGTGGCAGCCAGTCATCACGCACGGCGGCCTTTCACAAACATAATCACTTTGTACTCTCCTGTAAACGCTAAACGTGAATGATACCAAATAAGGTAGCTGTCCTGCCGTAACGAGTGATCCTTTGATTGGTTCTGCCGTGACGAGTAATCCTTTGAGTGGTCCTGCCGTCATCAGTGGTCCTCAAATTTAATTCCTGCGCTAGTTGCCGTCCGGGGCTGGAAATGAAAATTCCTGCTGGAAATCGCAGTTTGCGACCTACGCCGGGTTTGCCGCCGCCTGCCGTTGGTTGGTATGATGCATGATAAAGTCAGCAGGTGGCAGCACTAACTTATGACGGGTGGGAGAAGACGGTGCTGGCTGTCATGCTCTGGGCAATTTTGGTGCCTTTTGGGAGATGGAATGCCCGCTGGTTGGGATTGGGTGTAGTGCTCGCTGGTAGGGATTGGATGTGATTGGACTGTTGTGCGAACCGAACGGCACTAACATGCATTTGACAGTGATTCTTCCACAGCGTTGCGATTCATTTACACTGTTTGCTGTGACTGCTGGACTTGTAAGCATGTCCTTCTCATGTTCTGGAGTCTTTTGGCTTGTTTCAACTGTATGATTATGATTCACGACGCCGCTCGTCAGTGTGTGTGTGTGTAGTTCATCTGAAGTAATGTTGCCAGGAAGGAACGTGACCAAGTTACATTTGATGTTCGAACATGGCTGAAGTAATTTGAATATATTAGATTTCATCGTCAATGAGAACCTGAGCTACAGACGACATTGCAACGCAACGATGCAGAATGAAGGTCAAACTGCATGTGGCCTGCGCTCTATATGTAGAGGCTCTGCATATCTTAGAGTTCCCGCGAGCAACGCACTTCTTCACAACGCACACTCTTCCCTCCGTATAGGTGAAGCCACCAGTGTGGTCGGGGGGACCTGGGGCCTGTTCTACGTCAGGCATGGAAAAAGAGGGACGTTTTAATGGAGCGTAACCTAAGCGTGGCAAAGGGGTAAAGGAGTGGTGAGAGGGGAGAGCGCACCACGGCAGTACGCTCAGGTGGGGCTGCAAATCACGCTGGACTCTTATTTTGGAATATTTTAAAGCCTCAAGGCTGGGAATAGTTGACTCGCCGTCATAACGAGCGACGCGCCCATCTTAATGTTATACCTCTAGGTTGATTATGGGTCAAACGGACATTACCTTATTAGCCCTTTGGGACTTTACGCTTAACGTAATGCAGCCAAGAGAAGGGTTTTATCCCATCATAATCACTGCGAGCCCAGGGAAAGGGGTAGGAAAAGGTAATCGTGCGTAACACAAGCGATGATGGGCCCTTGCGGACCCTGGTAACGGTTCAGCAGATTGGATTTTGTATTGTTCTGGTCTTACAAAATGGCACTAAAACATAAATCAGCCCAAGTGGCGCTTAAAACGTGGGCTCAGCGTGACAAAATTCGTCCATTTGGGTGTTAAGGAGACCAGTATTAATCATGCTATTAGACCTCCGTGATTCTGCCGTCCCAACCTCTACCATATTTTTTCTGCTAATGCGTTGCCCTTTTACCCGAATCGTCAAGTCGTGACCCATGGCCCGATTTACGTTGCCTGAGGGGCATAGACGCTGGGCTGACTGCCATCCAGCTCGATGCTGATTGGTCGATCCTTATCGAGGGAAGGAGCAACGGCTAGTGGACCTCAAGGCACGTGTGCAATAGCATGAGGGAATAGCGGTCTCCATGGCACCCGAATGGCTGACTGTTGCCGCCACAATGGGCGTGATTCGTCCATGACCACTCACCGTTTCTCCGAAATCTCACTTTTGTCAGCAAACCCCGAGCGACTGCGGCCCAGCCTAACACACGCCGGTTCTGCTGTTCTTTCTCGGGATCCCCCGAACGAGGGATCAGCCCAGTTCCGTACCCGTTGTCTGGACCAGTGCTACCTCGCTGGGCTCTCAGCTGTTGGCGACGTTTGCACTGAGTGCCTTGGTTTCTGTAGTCGGAATGCGTTGTGTGTGTCCTGGATGCAGTGTCAGGTAAGGTGGGATTCACGGGCTGCTCTGTTCCAGGGTCCGATTGGGCTGGACGGTCCAAAAGGAGAACCGGTAAGGGGCACTGCCATCTAGCGTCGTGAATATGTACTCTGGGTTATACAAATGATCACTTTGTGGCCAAACTCATTCGCTCGCGCGGTGCGTCGTTCCGTTCTTTCCTGGATTCATGGGCGCAGCTTTCAAAACTGTGATGAGTGGCAATCGCTTCAAATGTTTCTGGACTTATTAACATATTCATTTTACGGATGGGCCAGTTGTGCACGTCTCTTAGCAAAAACACCTCGGCGCAGTCCACAGATGAGGGAGCCAGGTTGGTTGACCACGCCCCACGCTCACGCCTGGCCTTTGCCCATCCGAGGGTGGACGCGATGGGCTGATGGAATGGCTTTGACCCCTCAGGGCGAACCCGGCAAGAGTGGCGCCGTGGGACCTCCTGGCAGCCCAGGCTATGACGTCTTCTCCACAGCGAAGGTACGCCCTGGAAAACACCTGGCCAATCTCGCACCCCGACATCGACACGTGGCAGACGAGAGGTCATGGAAAGAGGTCGTACATGTAGTGTTCCTACCCTGCATTAGGTTTCTGTATATACTATCCATGAATGGGGCAGAGCTTCTGCTTTAAGGACTTGGGCTATATCTCAATGGTTCGCTCGACTTTATTAACTTTTTGAACGCGTGTGTGGGGAGGGGTAAGGCCCGTTTCAGGATCGTCATGCTGTCTGTTTCTTTGCGACAAAAAGCGTGGTAGCATGCAAGATCATGGTGGACGTGCCATCGCCACTATTTCCTTTGACGCTGCACCCACAACGCCAGTGGTGTACAGTGCGTTGGGTCTTGTTCGTTCCTTCAGCCTTCTAGACCTCACGGGGGACTAGAGGTGCACCAGAGAAAGCGGCGGGGCGTCACGTTAGTCCCGCATTTTACGTTGGCACCGCAGACGGTTCCTTCGGTTTTCGTTTGATGAGTGCCCAATGAGCCATTTAAGTATTAAATCCCATTAAGAAAATTCGGGCTACACCCCTGTAAGGGACTTGGCTTTGGGCTTTCCTTATTCAGCCCGAGGCCCATCCAGATGGTTTCTACTACTTCGATTGCCAAGGGCTGTCCCGCTTTTCGTCGGCTGGGCTGTCTGCTGCTGCGAAGCAGGAGAGTCAAAAATTATCGCGGCGGTACAGAACTAGGTCGACTGGTTATTGCGGACTCGACAGTTTGTGCACTGAGCCACGCCGGAGTGGGGGTGGGGGGGGGGGGGGGGGGGGGGTGTGGATGACGCAGAACCCTAGCTTTGAGCCATTTGCTTCAAGCTCCTGTTCCGGTTTTATTTACCTCGCCTTACCTCTTCTCCTGGCCGTATATTGTTCAATGATATCACCTCGCATTCATCATCAGCCTCCTACATGGCCTTACCAGCATCTGCATACCTTTGTTTCAACACTGCCTTAGCTCTGTCGGTGGCGCTACGCAAAGACACGGTCGTGTTTAGACCGGTTGCAGCGAGTTCCCGTTCATCGGAGCTGGTCCGAGGTTACCACTAGCTCACAGAGCTGTTCTGAAGTCACCAGGCCCTCAAAGCTGGTTCCATGTCACTATTCCCCTCAGTGCCTTCCTTAGGTTACCTGACACACGGTGACAGTCTCTGATCACGATTTCGCTTCTGAGCTGGTTTGAGGTCATCGAGATCTCCTGACCGGATTAACGAAACACCAGGAGTCTTGTTATCCCTTCAGAGTCAGATCCCGGTCACCACTTCTCCTCTGAGGTGATTCCAATTCACCATTTCCCTCAGAGTCGGTACCAAATCACCATTCTCCCTCAGAGCCTGCCCCCGATCACCCCATGTAAAGCCTGTCCCGGGTCAACAGTCCCCTCCAGAGCCTGTCCCGGGTCACGAGTCCCCTCCAGAGCCTGTCCCGGGTCACCAGTCCCCTCCAGAGCCTGTCCCGGGTCACCAGTCCCCCTGAGAGCCGGTCCTGGAGGCGCCTGCCGCTGTTCGCAGGGGATCAAGCGATCTGTGACCAGCTTACGCGGGGGCACACTGGGCTACGCTGAGATTGTGGCCATCAAGGTGAGCTGACCTCCCACAGCGGCTTCCCCGGGCGGACCGGCGGCAGGCCCCCGTGCTCCGGTGGCGGTGCGCGCCTCTCTGTGGTCCGTCGCCAGCTTGGGATGTGCGGCTTCGTTGTCTGCCGGCCTGCTCCGTGGTGTTGCTCCTTGTTGTTTGGCGCGCGGTCGGCCTGCCACCTGGCGGTGGGACCCGCTCAGCTGATGCGATATGTGTGTGCGTGTGTGTCCCCGTTGCTAGCTCGCCAGGCCCTGTTCCTGTGTTCCCTCTCTGGCGGCGCGTCGCCCCTTCCTCTGGCTTGCGATGGGGTGGCTGTTGTTTTTTTCTCCTGGAATGACGTGCCGCCTCTCTGTGCCTGGGACTGCCGTGTGACATCTTCTTGCCGCCTGCCCCGCAGCGCGCTCGGTGTCTCGGTTTCGGCTGGCGTCTGTCCGTCGCCCCGCTTTGGGTGTTGTTTGTCTTCCGACAGTGTGGCTTCTTGTCTTCTGCTTGCGGCGAAGGCGCCACCTCTTTGTCTGCTGTGGTGTTTTTTGCGTTCTGGCAAGTTCCATCCTTTGTTCCTCGTCAGGTAGACTTTTGAGGAAATGAAAACATGATCGTTCACCTGTGGGCACTTGCAAGCTTATTCTGTGACTGGCCTACCGCTGCCCTGTCAACGATATATATATATATATATATATATATATATATATATATATATATATATATATATATATTCGTTAGTATACAAGATCGTTAGTTCTCAGTTCCAAATTGAGCACTGTGGCGATGCTCGAAAGAGCCGCGAGTCCTCCGCCAGTCGGGCTCACATTTTCTGTGCCTGGAAAGGCGTTTCTTCAACGCTGCACAAATATGCGCCGTTGGCCTGAATGGTCACGTGATCAGTGCGGCGCGCGCTCGAGTCGTCACACACAGACGTCCCGAGCGGAAGAATAGAAACCACGGCCGCTTGACCTGTGACGCGGCTGAGTTTTCCCAGCACGCACTGCCTCAAAGGCGCCTGACTTCCGGTTTGGCCGGTATCCACGACCTGACGCTCTCGCAGTGAGACTGACCTGACCTGACGCTCTCGCAATGAGAAGGGGGGATTGACTCTCCCCTGAGACGTGCGGGCCAGCTCTCGACAAATACAGTACCAGGCCTGCACATCAGACGCTTCCTTTGTGCTGGCTTTGTGATAGGATTCCGCATTATGTGCTGGTTTATTATGTATTTAAGGCGGCATTCTCCTCGGTTCGAGCTGAACGCCATGGATGTCCGTGTCCATCGGACGTCCGGTGCTGCTCCGCTTTCGTGTCCAATGGAGCACCTGGTTCTGGGAAAGAACACCTTGCTTCTTTCTTCTTTTTTACAGGGCCTCTCCCAGCTTGGCTTTAACCTTGACCCCGACAATATTCTCATGCTCAAAGTGAGTACTTTATTACACTCCAACGCATCGCACGTGCGCCAATGACTAATGCAAAATACAACCGCGGAAAATGCACGTTTTGTCTGCCCATTTTTCTCTTTTGCTATAAGTTCTCCCTGTCGGGCACTGTCTTATGTGCAACTCCGAGCAAGGTTTCAGGATGTTCAGCTGACGACGAGCTGGTCCTTTGCCTGACAGACGGCTTTCCCTGTGATTAAGTCAGCTGAACCGCCTCGAAATATGCACATATGACGTCAGATGCCGCCCAGGCCGCCGCATCACATAAGACGTCAGATGCCGCTTAGGCCGCCGCGTCACATATGACGTCAGATGCCGCTCAGGCCGCCGCGTCACATATGACGTCAGATGTCGCCCAGGCCGCCGCGTCACATATGACGTCATATGCCGCTTAGGCCGCCGCGTTACATATGACGTCAGATGCCGCTTAGGCCGCCGCGTTGCATATGACGTCAGATTCCGCTCAGACCTCCGCGTCGCATATGACGTCACATGTCACTCAGGTCGTCGCGTCACTAGTCGACCCGTTCGACTCAATCACAAAGCGATGCTCGACTCCCACTCCCAACTCAAGTTAAGCCACGTCTCGAGAAGCTCTGGCTGGTGGTGCTTCTCAGTTGGGGATGCTTGCGATGGAACCATCAGCCCACGCGCACCGCCGGTTGTGCGTTGTCCCATTTCTTTGGCGTCACTCTTGATCGCATTGACCCGGACATGATCGCATTGATCCGGGCATGATCCGGACATGATCCGGACATCGCATTGATCCGGCCCGAGTATTCTGCATGTGGGAACGCGACGACTGCTGTTTGAAATGCCCATGCGCTGTGCAACCAAGTCATTCTGCCCTCAAGGACGGCCGGGTGCCGACGAACGCCCCCCCCCCCCCCCCCATCTTTCCACCGTGTGCCTATCACCTTTGGTCTTCCGTAGAGTTGGAGCGATTTCACCGCCGCCTATGTCGCACGTGCTGAGCTGCGCCGGCCGTGCGTGTTGCGTGTCGCTTGGCTTGGCAGGTTGTGGGTTCGCAGGCGTCGCTAGCTGCTTCCATGGCGAACCTCAACGACTGCTGCATGTCCTGCTCTTGGTGACCAGCATGCTTTTGCACGTTACTGCACGGGAAGGTTGTGTACCGAACCCTTTTGTCGGGTCACCCAGTTCGAGTATGAAATTCAGCTGATTGATTGCCGAGCATAACATATCGAACACGCGCTGATTTGCTTTTCTGTTAGCGTAAGTGAAATAACCGTTTTATTTAAACCGGGAAAATTTAACGCCGAAATGAACTGCAAATAACCGTTACGTTTGTAAGCAACCGAAAGCCGCATGCGATGGCTGATTTGCATGTGGAGGCCTTGACTCTTTGCCGTCACCATTTGCCCTGTTATGGTCATGTGTTTCCACTGAGCTCATCTGACGATGTTTTCTCAGTGGTCTTTTATGTATGCTTTAAGTCTGTTCTCGTTTAAGATTCGGTCTTTACGGAGCGTCGCTTCTACATTTTTGTCGGCTGTTCGTCGTAATCATTGCTGTATCGTTGTGCTCCTTGCGGTGCAATTTTGAACTAAAACCTTGCGAAAGGTCTTTGAGCGCCCTAAGCTGGGTAGTAATTGGAGAAAGTCTCAGCGTATCTGACATTCTTAATTTGACCGATTAACGGCTTGAGATGACCCCCACACTCCGCCAAATTTTCACATTTTGCGTCCACATGCGAGTGTAGGAGGACATAGAGTAACTTGCACATGGAAAGGTTTCTTGCAGTACACGAACAATGCCGTCGAAAACAGCCTTATTCGAGGCCAACGCTCTCTGTCGGCGTGCGTGATTCGGTGAGATGAGCCTCGCTATCCCGGCACACTCGAGACCCCCACTGACCGGCGCGTCACCTGCCAGGGCGAGAAGGGTGAGCCGGGCCCGATGGGCTCGGCGGGACCCACGGGTCCCACGGGCCTGCCCGGCATCAGCGGCATCCAGGGTGGGCCGGGCAAGCCCGGCCTGCCGAGCGAGCCGGGCCCGCCGGGACCGGCCGGGCCGCCGGGACCCGAGGGACCCCCGGGACCGCCAGGAGCACTGGTGAGTGAGGCGGCTCACGGGCACGGGGAGGTCAGGGGTCAGCCCACTCGGGCGGCAAGCAGGGACACAAACATCGCCCCAGGCCAACTACAGTAGAAGGTTAAAGTTGCTGTTAAAAGGGGCCCAGCTCAGCAGTGGTGACCTAGCTCCAAGGTCAAAGGCGTGCCCCAGCTTACCTGCAATAACCCAGCTTACCTGCATTAACCCATCTCACCTGCAATAGCCCAGCTTACCTGCAATATCCCAGCTCACCTGTGATATCCCAGCTCTCCTGTAATAACCAGTCCGTGACCCATTTCACCTGTATCGAAAGATCAGTTACTGAGGTCATCCCTGACGGCAGGTCAGCAGTCATCCCCGTTGGATTGAAGGGTCAGGGAGCGAGGTCGATTGTAGTGTAGTGCCGCGGCTCCATGCCCTCTTGGCTGTCCTGGCTGGGAGTTGCCGCCGCCCTGCAGCTGAAAAGGGAGCTTTCATATTTTGCTGTGTTTCAAGTGTTTCGAACTGGTCCGGATTTCAACGAATGAAATTCCCATGTTATGGAACAACGGTGCCGAATTGGCGCAATCGACTCACGTCAGTGCGGACAGCTGCTCTGGTCGGCAAGTTGTGATGAGGGGGAGAGCCTGCTGGACCTGATGTTGTACGTGGCCATGCTTACAGGGAAGCAAGGGCGAAAAGGGCGAACGAGGCCTGATCTCGACCGTGGACGGCAGCAGCTTCCCCACCGGCTTCATCGAAGGACCGCCAGGTCCTCCCGGTGAGTCCTCAGACTCTGTTTGGGCTCGCTTCAGCTAGCCGACGCGTACAAGTATTCTGGTGGCTGTTTTCACAGCCGTCGTATAGAATAATGCCCCTGGGAAAGGGGATACTTCGAATCGCGCTTACTAGAGGAAAACGACACTGAAAGGACGCAGGGGTAAGGCGCCTCGTTGGGCCAAAGGTTAGGGGCGTGGGCGTTGCTGTCCCCGGTCACGGAAGAATGCGGATACAAGTGGGCTCGGGGTCAGGTGCGAAACAGCTGGAGAGGCCCATAGGGGAGGGGGAGGGAGAGAGGATCAGGACGGCATGGTGAGTTGACTGAACTGAATGGCTTGCTGTTGGAATGTGTGACACGCGTCCATTGTACATGAGGCCAATCACGAAGGCCATTTTGTCCGTGTCTTGCATTCCCACCTTGCCAGCTGTACTTGATGTCGGGTTTACGGCGCGTGGTCGCACTGTGGCCTGACCTGACCCGACCCTCTGGCACGGCAGGCCCCGAGGGCCCACACGGCCCACCGGGCGGCCTGGGTCCCGTGGGCCCTCCGGGACCCGTCGGCGGGCGGGGATCACCCGGGCCACGCGGACGTCGAGGCAAACGGGTGAGTGTGACGTCAGCGGTGGCGTCATCGCCGACCACGTCAAACGGCTACGTGTTCCGTCGAGCTAGCCCGCCAGAACACCGCGCGTCGGCGACAGCGTGTTCCGGCTCGGCGCTCCTCCGCTGTATACCCCGCCTGCCGGCACCGCGTCCGCACGGCTTGCTAGCGGCAGCACGCCGGCCGCGTCAAGCCCCGCACCTGCCTGCGTGCATGGCATGGTTAAGCTGGCACTGGCCACCGAGCGGCCCCGGCTGGCGCCGCACTAAGACCAAGCGCCGTCGCCGCCGCCGGAGACTGCGGTTGGCGGCCGACGCTCCTGCGGCGGTGGTGGCGCTCTTGCGGCGGTGGCGCTCGGCACGGCGCAGTCAGCTGGCGCGGCTCGGGGGCGCCCCGCGTTGGTGGCAGATACTTCCACCCTTCAGATCCCCGTTTTGGAGTTGTAGACTGATGTGGTTTTGTGTTGGGCTATTCTTGTGCACGATTAGGTGACCTGCTCGGCCCAGGTGTCGGTTGGCTAACTGCGTGGCCACTGGTAGGGTTTTGCTTCGGTATCGGGTGATTTTGCCTCACGCGTTTCGGTGTGGCCACTGCCGTTTTGCTTAAATGTTCACGTGGCCGTGTGCTAACGCGTGTTCGTGCGCTTGTTCATCGCTAACACCATAGCTGACTTCCAGGATATTTTGTTGCAGCCCTAACAGACCGCTGGGCGCCGTGTCACACCTCCTGCACCCACTTCTGCATCCACTTCTGCACCCACTTCTCGTACCACATCCTCGCCACCTGACAGAACCGTCCTTTTATTACGCTTGGGTCGGTAGCACATCCCCTGTAAGTGATCAGATTCATTATTATTGATCAGATCCACCTCAAGTGATCAGATCCACTAAAGTTGATGAGATCAGATCCACTGTAGCTCATAAGGTCTACTTCAAGTGACCAGACCCGTTATAGTTGATCAGATACACTGCAAGTGATCAGATTTACTATAGATGATCAGATCTACTTCAAGTGATCATATCCAACATAGTTTATTAGATGCACTACAAGCGATCATATCCATATATTTGATTAGATCCACTAAGTGATCAAATCCACTATAAGTGATCAAATCCACTATAAGTGATCAGATCCACTGTAGTTGATCAGATCTACTATAAGTGATCGCTGAGCAGATCCTGTCACTGCGACCAAACATGGTGTCATGTCTTTGGTGTCATTTAATAAATTGCCCGCACCTGACGCCGATGAGACAGGAAAGCGCCTAGCACTTGGCTCACCGACTAACATTTCGCTGGCGCTGTTTCAAATAGCGGGTAACTTGTCAAAATATGTTTAATGCCGTAAATTCGTAATTCTTTTCGGCTAATGCATTGAATGCGTGAAAAAGGTACCGTCGGTCCCAACACCGTAGGCCCCGAATTGGCATAATCACCGGCGTCAAATAATATTATCCCCCCGTCTTGTGCTGTCAAGCCAAGACCTGTTCGGAGCCCTCAGTCTGACGCGGTGTCCCCACGACGACCTAACTGTCCTCGTTCGACTGACCTCTGACCTCTAGCTGGGTGGTGGCTGCTCTGTTCGTCTTCCGTCTCTCGCTGTTGTCACTTCGCCGTCTCTCGCTGTTGTCCGTCCGTGACGTCACACAACGGTAGGTGACGTCAGACACCCGGCGGCTCGAGTCGTGTTTTCATTGGCTGGGACTTGTTTTCAAAATGAGAGCAATATTGATGCCATAGTGATGAGTGCATCAATGCACTTAAGTTTTCTTTTTGCACCAGCTGTTCTATATTTGCCCTCGCCAGCTGATTGAGGGACTTGTGTCGCTCTTATTATTCTGATCCACTCCTCTGCCTGCCTCATGCTTTCTAATTTACTGTTCTGATGGCCCTAATCTTCTTTGTATTTGACATCAAGTAACACGAAATATTGAACTTTATCAGTGACTACATGTCACATACGCCAGTAAATCGCTGTGAATGGCATTTCTTCTATACTCCTAACCAACGCTATCTAACGCTTCTCAATTCATCAGTACAACTAGTAGCTACACAATACCAGTCAAGTAATCAGCAGCCTGTGTGAACGCAACGCAGCGCGTTGACATTTTATACTTATTGTCGACCTTCCTATGACCCTGACTGTTCCCTCAGGGGAAGAATGGTCGCGCTGCGATGATTGGCCGAACGGGCAAGCCGGGCCCGGAGGGTCAGAAGGGAGAGCACGGCTTCAAGGGAGAGAAGGGTGAGTGGCGGTATGAGGAGAGGGGGCGTATCGGATATTGTTTCATATTGTGGGAGATGGCTCATTGGATATTGCTTCATGTGCTGGGAGATGGCTTATTGGATATTGGATCGTGTGGTGGGAGATGGCTTGTTGGATATTGGTTGATATGGCGAGAGATGAATTACTGGATATTGGTTCGTGTGGCGGGGAATGATGTATTGGTTATTTGTTCGTATGATGGGAGATGTCGTATTGGATATTGGTTCATATGGTGAGAGATGGCTTACCAAATATTAGTTCACATGTTGAGATATGTGCCTCACTGTTGTGTGCCTTCTCAAACACATAGCCGAGAGGACACATATAAGAGACACCTAGCGCATAGCACATACAGACATATAGAGGCATATAGACATGACACATATTACATAGCACGTGGAGACACGTCCCAGACACATAGAAAAGACACATAGCACATAGCTTCTCCAGAGAGCAGGGATTTTCGTGACTGCATGAAGTAGAATTAGTAACGAAGTATTATTAACATGAAGTAAGTTATCATGATTGTCAACATCGATGTCCTTCCCTAACTTGTTGCAGGTCAGTCTGCGATCACAATGCTACTGCCGTGTTCTCCCTTCCTCTTGTGACATAATTTGGGGTGCGATGGGCGTCGAGTCACCAAGCAGTCGACGCGCTCTAAACCCCAAATCAGCTCCCCCCGCTCCAGACTTCCGACCGTCGTCCTGACCGCGTCTCTGTCCGGCAGGTGGGATGGGCGACATGGGTCTGCCGGGCCTGCCGGGAGAGAGGGGACCGGTCGGTCCCACCGGACGGGACGGACTGGATGGAGAGACCGGACCACATGGACCACCTGGACTTCCCGTGCGTGGGCTGTGCATGCGGTCACCGCTCGTGGATAGCGCGCGTTGCTGGTTGATCTGTTTGCAAACGGGGATAGCAGTTGGCTTTTTGAAACTCTGGAGAGTGGTTTTGTGAATTCGAGAATGAAATGGTAGGATGCATTGTTAGTCGTGTGGCTCATCTATAATTATACGCAACGGAAGCATTTGAGCTGGTAATACATAAAGCCCCAGAGGATCACTCATTGCCTCATTTGTGAGGAATGCGGTTCTCACTACCCTTAATCATTTTTAGGAAATCTGACTGCAGCTAGAGCTTTCTGTGTGTGTGTGGAATCTGAAACGATTTGTGACAGTTGACTTGCGTGAAGTCTTCGACCGAACAGCACTGTTTATTATCGTCAGGGCGTTTTGTCTGTCCTGCGTTTGAGAGTCGCTATCTGCATTCTCCATGATGCTTGACGAATGTGTTTTAATGTCTCTGACGCGCGCAGGGTATTGGTGGACCCAAAGGAGACCGCGGAGAAGTCGGAGACATGGGACCACCCGGTCTGATGGGACCACCCGGCCTGCCCGGACCGCCGGTGAGTGATGGGACCGCTTGGACCGCCGGTGAGTGTTTGATTGGACCACCCGGACCACCGGGACCCCGGTGAGTTATGATGGGACCACTCGGACCGCCGGTGAGTATCTGATAGGACCACCCGGGTCGCGCGGCCGGTGAGTTATGATGGGACCACCCGGCCCACCTGGACCGCTGGTAAGTGTCTGATGGGACCACCCGAACCACCCATACCGCCTGGACCACCTGGACCAGTGCGCTCTCAGTCACAAGACGGAAATGGAAATCGCCCGGGGGCCATTTGGACGTCTCAGCGACGAATTCTCCAAACACGCGCTCCATGGAAACGTGACGTCTTATGCAAAGCTTTGTCTTTTGTTCTGGTGTTGATGGTTGATCGACTTTGCGTTTTATTTGAATAATATTTGCCGCTTGTCGCAGATGGACACCATGGCGCAAAGGTTCCTATGGACCTCACAATTTGACACCCATGAGATCACATGCAAACCTCCTGCTGGTTTGAGTGCCTAGACATGTTTGTTTACAAGCTCAAGCTACTTGCAACGATGAATTTCTTACTCTGAAACAACCCAGCGAGGCTGCATATTCATGCATAGTGTTCCAGGACACCCCAAAACATATCACATTCGTCTCAGAACGCATTTGTGGGAGCGGCTGCTGCTCCGCCGGCGCGAGGCAAACCAGGCGCCGTAGCACGCGCCGTCTAGAGACATGTCGATACACGTTAACACCTATCGTCGTAGACGGTCCAAGTCGGCTCCCAACGTCCCGGCCGACCATTTCCGGGACGACTTCGATTCCTGCGAGATCGGCTTGCCATCCGTTTTGATTGGTTGAATCCGGCGAGCCTTTGTGCCGGCTCGGATTGGGGCTGTTCGGCTTCAGCTGATATTGCGTCTGGAGGCTTATGGCTGATGGCTGTGTTGTCGGCGCGCCGAAGTCACCGGCTCGGTGCCCGCTACGAGCCGGCCCGGATCTCCGCCCTGTGCTGTTTGGCTTTGTAACGTGATCCGAGCTAGCCAACGAGGCAGTTAGATATGCTAAGTGGCGGGAGGAAGGGCAAAGATCGTTGGCAAAAACAGATGTAGTGGATATTTTTGTTGTCTTTGAAAGACATGAAATGTCGGTGAGAGCAAGCTGGGAAAGGATGCGTGTAATATTATTTGCGTAAAAGGGATTGATCTTCCCTCTGTCGGTCGTCTTACCATCGCGCGGGTCGGCGGACCCAGGCATGAACTTCTTCACGCCGTTGAATTCCTCATATTTCAACCCCGCTTGAAGCGCGTCACCGTGCCGTACGTTGGCTGTGGACGTTTTGAACCCCATGTCTGCAGTATATCGTCTCTGGTGACCACTCCCAGTTGGCCCCGCCGAATAACATCACTTGTCTCCTTCCGTAATGCTCACAAGAACTGGCTGTCTCCTAGGCTCTTACTTGCCTGAGACGACCAGGTGTCTCCCCGGCGGTGTCTCTTGGAGACCAAGTGCCACCCGTGTTTGTCCCCTTCGACTCCCGCCGCCTGGCGATGCGTCGTGTCCGCTCACTAGTCGTTGTCTCTGATGATTGGCCTTTGTCTCCACTGATCAATGCGTTCTTCCGTTCTCAGGGTCTCCCGGGGTCTCCGGGCGAGAAGGGCACCAAGGGAGACTCGGTAAGCAGCGCCTCATCTCATGTTGTGACCCTTCGTTCATCCGTTCCGCCGTTCCTCACATTGTCTCCTGCGGCGCGTTCCGCTCTGTTTGTGAACCCCTTTGCATGTTACTCACCGTGATGGGAGTGAGAACGTTCATCGTGGTGATATTCCGCCCACTGATCATTCCTCGCACCAAATGGTCCTGCAACCGTCATTGCCATCCGTTTGAAGCGTTGCGGCTTTCAAATCCTTTGACACTCATCACATACTCATGAGCATGTTCTTGGGATGGCTATTTTCAGAAGTTTTCAGTTATGATGTTTTCACATCCAAACAGCCGCACACAAAAGCTACAAATGTTTGTCGTTTAACAAGTGAAGATCACACGATACTGTGTGCCCGGGCACATCAATCGTTGCCAAAACACAACTTATTCATGGCAACAGCCTCGCACAATTCATTATCCAGTGATGACCAGCGTAAATATATGTCCGTTTTAATTATCGCCTCTGTCCTCTGTCTGTGTATTTGTTCCTATGCGCGCTGCATCTGCGCTGGCTCCTGCTCCGCTCACCCCCCCCCCCCCCCCCTTCTCTCCTCCTCCCGGCAGAAATATAAGAAGCTGCGGCGGCGGAACGGCGCCAAGCAGGAGCATGGCCTGGTGGAGTACGTGGCCGGGCCGCCGGGACCGCCGGGGGCACGCGGTCTCACCGGTCCGCAGGGACCGCCCGGCATCAAGGGCAGCCGAGGTCTCGACGGCTCAGGGGACTGACGGTCAGTGGCAGGGACATGACGGCTCCAGGGGAGTGACGGTCAGTGGCAGGGACATGGCAGCTCCAGGGGACTGACGGTCAGTGGCAGGGACATGGCGGCTTAAGGGGAATGACGGTCAGTGGCAGGGACATGGCGGCTGTAGGGGACTGACGGTCAGTGGCAGGGACATGGCGGCTGTAGGGGACTGACGGTCAGTGGCAGGGACATGACGACTTCATGAAACTCACGGTCATTAGCAGGGACGGGTGTAGGCAAACTTTGTGTTGGAATAGAGGGGGAACGTTTTGGGGTGGTTGGGTACCACTTGTCAATGGTAGCTGACGTGGCGGGTGATATGCGGGCGTTCCTTCTCTGCCGCTTGTTTGCGATGCTTGTGTATAAATTGTGAACGAAGGATGAAGGGGGTGTAGGCAAGGAAGAAGGGATGAGGGACACTGCCACCCTGTCTTGAGTAATAGACGCTCAAGGACCTGTTCAGGCGCCCAAAAGGCGGCTGAAATTAAATTGTATGAGTGCTTCTTGTGAGAGATTAAAATGCAATAATAATGGAAGAGTTTTGCTCAACGTTTCTGGAAGCGCCTAGGCTCCAAAGGTCGGGAAGGGGACCCTCACTGGTTTGACATTATGCCTGGTGTACAAAGTGTGGGATAAGTCCGAGAGGACAACCGAATTTCAAGTCCTAGACAAAGCCGTTCAGTCCCTCAGGCTGCAGGGCTTTCTGGCATACTTTCGCCCCCCCCCCTCCCCCCCCCCCATTCATCCCCCGGGGAATTCTAATATCCGTGCCTGCTAGACCATACGCGCAGGTTGTTAGACAGACACCTGCGATGCAACTTGCATTAAGATTGGGTTAGTGAAAGTCTTATTTTGGAAAATTGAGAGGAATTGTCGTTTCATATGAATTGTAAGCGTGCCACGATATAACTATTCGAGAGGCAAACGTTTTCAGGAACATACAACGTTGAAACTTCAAGCTTCGTAGCATATGATCACAATGCTATCTTCACTGCTTCGAAGCAGCACGTCTCCGTTGAGGACAATCTAGACAGCGACAGCAGTTCTTCATAGCTGATACTGACAGTAGTTATTCATAGTCAACCGTGATCGTCGTTCCACATCTGGTACTGTGCATTCCACATCTGGTACATCATTCCACATCTGGTACTTACGGCTCTCTTCTGTCGCCAGGGTGGCAAGGGAGAGAAGGGTGACTCCGGGCCAATTGGACTTCCGGTGAGTGTTGACAGCCCGCTCAATCCGGGTCAGGTCAGGTCCGTTCAGGTCAGGTCAGGCTACGGCTGCTCACTTCTGCTCAAAACAGCGTGGCTGCCCCACTGACCAGCGGTTGTGACTAATGCTCAAATTCATAAGATTCATGAGACTTGGGCAACGTTACTGTTTGGTTTTGCTGTCAGGTAGCGGCAAAAAGGCGGCGCTCATGTTTTAACGATCCGCCGATGCCACGCCAAGTCATACCGCATGCCGTCATACCTCGAGCCATACCGGCGCCATACTGCTGAGGCAGCAGTGGTTCGCTGTCAGTGGTTAATAGGGCCTTCATGCAATGATGTTTCTTTACGATAAGCGCGGTTTGCACGCCTTCTTCCGTAGCACGTCCGAGCCGTTGTAACATGCTCAAACCTATATGACTAAATGACTCATCATCTACATATCTCTGGCTCCTTTGTTTAGCCGATTTGTTGTCGATGCGGCTCTAGCTGTACGCTATTAGCGGTGAGTTTACAGATAACCTTATAATGGAATGCACAATACAGCTCACATCACATATGCCTGACCCAGCACGCCCATGCTTCTGTCGCAGGGACCGATGGGTGTTCGAGGCATACCTGGACACAAGGGAGGCACCGGCTCACCGGTAACGTACCCCATGTACTCCCTATACCCTTGGTACAACGGGTACGTTCCGGTGTTCATGGTGCTAGCACTGATGGTGTGGGCGGGGGTCTTTCGTTATGCGTTCGTGAACTGCTTGCTGGTGGGGGCTATACGAGCCCTACCCACCGTGTTAGTCTGAAGCCATTGTTCACTTGTACAAGGGCCTCGTTTGATATTGTGGAGGTGAATTAAGCTGGGGTGAGATGTCATTAAACACAAACTTGAGGCCCAACTGGTGTTCCAGCGGATTTCCCTGTGCTCATTCGCTGATTATGCTGCCTTGAGGAGAGGCCAGTTCAAGTGAACTCTTCATTCCGTGATGTAAATTCTCGCTGATATGTTACGTTCCACTTGCATCACCGTTGGAGAAGTGAAGTCTAAAGTGACGTGGGCTCAGTACGATCCCCAGCACCGACTCCGTACAGCGGACATGTGAATAGGCAATGTAGCATGGGTGGAAACGCTGCTGCGCTTGTTCCAATAACGGCCAGAGACCCCGAGTACATGCTGTTGCGGGTTTTGTGAGTGGCTGATGCGCTTTGAGCATGGCCAGTTCTGCTCCCTTTCGGTGCTGCGTTGTACACATGGAGGTATGTTCGTGCGGTTTGAAAATGCTAGCGTCGAATTAGATCCGCCTCTTGCTGAAAAGCCGACTGGGATCTGTAGACGACAGATGTGTATGCGTAAATTTGTAGAGTTCGCACCTTTAGATCTTTTCAATTTCTTCTTTTTCACCGAAATAATGGCTTAGACCAGATTTAGACACCCTGCAAGGCTACTGTATCTGTATCTGCCACCAACCCAGCGCAATTCAGCGCTTATGCTTTGGCAACACTTGGCACATGCAACACGCTTGAGAGGGACCAGCTTCCAAATTTGCTAGCCGTCTTGGTCGTTTTTCCGTGGCGAGTGTATGAATGTCTCTGACATGTTCCCACAGTCTCATACCTGACGGTAGTAAGAGATAATTTTCCATCAAACTCAGTGATCTTCCATCAAACTCAGTGATCTTCCATCAAACTCAGTGATCTTCCATCTCCCATTCCCCGAGAGGAGGCAATGTCCCCAAAACCAAACATCCGAAAGCCAAGTTTGTGAAGCACCAGCGTGATAAACACTCATCCTCCTCGTGATGCGCATCTCTCCTTTTTGTACCGCGTGTCGTGTTTCCGTGACAGCAACGACGTTGTCAGTGGCGCCACCTGGCCCACCGCTTAGTGGCGCCACCTGATCCCCCGCTAGTGGCGCCACCTGACCCACCGCTGCCGCGCCACCTGACCCATCCGCTGGCCGCAGGGCTTGCCGGGGCTGGACGGCATCAAGGGCTTCAAGGGCGAGCCGGGCCTGAAGGGAGAGCGGGGAGACCCCGGGCTTCCGGTGAGTGCTGAGTGGCCGCACTGTCCCTTCTGTCCTGCCACGTGTTAGTCCGTCCGCGTCCGGATTCCGCCGTACCAGCCTGGTGCCGTCCTCACTTGGTACTCGACTAGACATCCCAGCTGCAGTTCGGTACATTAGCGTTCGTCATAGCTGCGCTTCTTGTATCGACACCGTGTGGCGTGCTGGTTTGTCCGATGTTGTTGCCGAGTCTGCTGTGTTAACTCTGATTGTCACAGATGTTTGCTTCACTATTGTCGCTGCATAGTCTGCGGTAGCGTTGCAATAATCTGACGCCTCAGGAATGCACCACACCTGCCACCTGCGTCCTAGTGCTGTTTGGCCTGTCTGTCATCTGCGTCCTAGTGCTGCGGGACCTGTCACCCGTGTCCTAGTGCTGCTGGGCCTGTCACCCGCGCCCTAGTACTGCTGGACCTGTCGCCCGCGTCCTAATGCTGCCGGACCTGTCACCAGTGACCTAGTGCTGCCGAACCTGTCACCCGCGTCTTAGTGCTGTTTGGCCTGTCTGTCATCCGCGTCCTAGTGCTGCCGGACCTGTCACCCAGCGTCCTAGTGCGGCTGTCATCCGCGTCCTATTGCTGCTGGACCTGTCACCCGTGTCCTAGCACTGCTGGCTACGGCTGCCGATGAACCAGAACTTCAGCCCACGCCCCTAATCTGCCCGTTGTAAGCACGTGACCCGGAAACGATCTGGTCTCCTCGATCGGATAATTTTACAATTAAGCAATGTCTTAAGCAAAACGCTCAGTTAAAGTTTGCTACCAGCTCCCGTCCCCACGAGCGTTGCAGACTGTAGTTCTGCAACGCTGCAGAACTACAGTCTGCAACACTGCAGACTGTAGTTTTATTTTAAGAGCGTTGCAGACTGTAGTTCTGTTTAAGAGCATTGCAGACTGTAGTCCTGTTTTAAGAGCGCTGCAGACTGTAGCTCTGCCTCTGGGCGACGTAGCCCCAGCTGTGTGACGACGGCCGGCGCTCAGCGGCGTCGATGCTCGTGTTTTCTAGGGGACCGACGGGATCCCGGGTCTGAAGGTAGCCGGCCGAGCGGCGGTTGGAGTGCGGACCCACTCCGGAGTGCGGACCCACTCCGGAGTGGTGCCTTTGGACGGCCATTCCGCTCTGTTGCACCGCGTCCTCTGTTGTAGATAATGGTGTTTATAGACGGAGCCCGGATGAGCATGAAGGCCGGCGCGCCTGCTAGTGGACATGCCCAGGAGCTCCATGCCCCAGCCTTAACCCCATCTCTACACTTTATGTGATGATCCCACCCACTGAAACCGACGCATTTATTTGTACCTAGATATTGTGTTATGCTGGGATTGCGTGCATGTCAGCTCTGCTATCGAACGCCGGTGGCTTCCGGAACGGCGTGTGTCGCTCGGACACCTCACCATGCCCGCAATGCGAATGAATTGGTTGCCGGAATGTCACGTCGGGCTGGTTGGTGCTCGGCTTTGGCTCATGGTTGGTTCGTCCGAATGTTATGGCGCCAGAAGGCATGGTGCACCCGCAAAGAGCTTTGTAAAGTCCGGTCCGGTAGATGAGTGAAATCGTGGTGCATCGGATTCCGACAAATGTATATCACGTGATTGCGCAATTTATTTCGATTTGCCTCATTGTTAAGTATTTGAAATTCACGCCGATAAATCTGCAGACGATCCTAAGCTATAGGAACCCAGTCCATAATCCCTCTATTTTTGTAACTTAAGTTGTATTTTGAAACGGAGCTATATACATGTCGTTTGACTACAACGAGACATGACGCATGATTACTGTTCGAGCGTTGGTATTTGCTGTCATTATTCCGTGCATATTTTTGACCTGACTTGCTTGTTTCTCAGGGTGAAAAGGGAGACAGGGGACAACTGGTAAGCTATTGGGCATAGTGCCTGTCAGTGTCTTTCACCGATCTTGTGTTGTAACAACACTGGGCAATACGATCAGCAAAAGTCTGGAACCAGAACTGTTTTAAATTGAAAGTAAAATGAACAATGTTGTGATTTCCTGACTGTTTCTTGTGGGCCTGAGGTAGTCATGGCTGGCATTGCTGCCATTACTGAGATAATTAGGTGACTCACTGCTGAGAGGATGCGCCGCTGAACCCATTTTCTCCGTCAACCCCATCGTTGTTGTCAGACTCGGTCGCACCTGCTCGCAACGTATCACACTGCTGTTCCACGGCTGTTGCGTCACCTGGCACTGCCTTCCCACTCATGACGTCACACACGCTGCCGTGTTCGATCCGTGCCGTCAAGCACGCTGCCGTACCAACTCGTGACGTCACACGCCGCCATGTCACACCGGTGACGTCACACGCTGCCGTGTCCCGCCGGTGACGTCACACGCCGCCATGTCCCACCGGTGACGTCACACGCCGCCGTGCGCCGCTGATGACGTCACCGTCTGTGATTCGGCAGGGTCCGCCCGGTCGGCGCGGCCGGAAGGGTGACCCGGGTCTGAAGGGCGAGCAGGGCGTGCCCGGCCTGGACGCCCCCTGCCCGGTGGGCAGCGACGGCCTGCCCCTGCCCGGCTGCGGCTGGCGGCCGCCGGCGCATCAGGTGGGTGCGGCGGGCAGTCCGGGCAGCCCGGGCAGCGTGGCTGACAGGGGTAGTGTGCTGCCCTCTCTGATGTGGAGGGACCTTGACTCTGCATCTCGCTACCCATATGGTGATGTACTGATCGCCATCTCTGTTGATGTAGTGGTCTGGTGTCTGCTGATCTGCCATTTTCTGAGTCACTGGATAGTTTATCCGTTAGTTGACTAGGTTATCTAGGTATCTAGCGATTTGCGGATGTCTGCCCACCTGTCTCTAGGTATCTAGCGATTTTCTGGTTTGCTGATCTTTTTGCGCGTTGGTCTAGGGATGTCGTTCTTTGGCAATATGCCAATTTTTGGTAGGCACTGAAGTATCGTTGTCCCATCATTTGAATTAATGTTTTTTATCCCTCTTCCCCGGTTATACTTTTTGCCTGCGCTTTTAGTTTTCTTCGCTGCGTGCCTCTTGTTATTTTCCCGTTTTCGTCTTTCAAGCCCTCTGTCAATCAGGTTTATTCCTGCCAATCCTGATTATTTGGTCACAGCTGACACAGGGGTTTGTGAATTGTTCACAGTAGTTAGCATAGCATGACACAGCATAGCATGAACAGAACTTGTCGAGAGGCGACGGAACAGTATCCATACACAATGTTCACAGCCACGTCTGGTGTTCTCTCACTGGAGTAGATATCGAGGCCTACTCGTGGGACAATGAAGATCACGCCCTTCACGGTGTTCAGTTGAAAGCGGTTTGGGCATATAGCTGCGTTTGGGGGGGGGGGAGGGAGAAACCTGGATAACGCACCGTTTTGCTGATGGGAACCCTGTATCCTGTGAGCTAAATTGTAATGACAAAAGGAGTCTCCGGGTTATATTCGTGGTGGCTACAAACAGTGGTCTCAAAAGTCAGCAAGAACAGTCGCCGAGTGGCCTAGCGGAAAAATGCAGAATGTCCAGTGCACAAGTACAGGAAAGTGATAGACCGCAAACCAACGCTTTGGCCGTTTTTTCAGCAACTGTCCCCCCCCCCCAAATTCCTTTCTTAAGTCCAATCATCAGGGAGTGATTACAAGGTCATTGGTCGTATTTATTTTGCGCCTGAGTGGACGGACCGACGCCTTGGTTTTCACCCCTGTCTTCACCTACCAAGGCAGTAATTCCATTGCAAAGGGATTTGTTCGCATTTCATCACTGATCATCGCGCCTCTTGCCTCTACCCTTCTTTTCACTTCTTCGTAGAGACAACAATTTAACAATTTCATCCCCGGCAAAATCATCCCGTAGTGCGTAGCTCAGAGCGCCATCTTTCGTGCCCAGGACACACTTCCAATGCTGGAGTCCGACACCGCGGCGCCAGCGTCAACGCTAGATCTGATGCAGGGCTATGCGGATGTGCTCCACGTGGATAACATTGATGACCTCCGATTCTAACCACGCTAACCTCGCACGGAAGGAGACGTCGACACTAACTCCAGGTGACGGGCCGGCATGCGGGCAGCGGGCGCCATCACCGTCACCTGGGACTGCGGCGTTTGCATGGACGGCCCTGTGGACAGATCGCTTTGGCTTCCCTGGCAATCGCCGCGTATGGCGGTCGTGAGATGTCGGGCTCATAAGATGTCGGGCTTAAAATGTCGACTTACATTGGGTTCCATCGATGTCCGAGATGCGTGGCTTGCTTTCCGCCTTGTTACCCTTTGACCACACGCCCTGTCCTGTCCCTGTCCTGTCGGTCTCTTCGACCACATGTCCCTGTACTGTCCCTGTTCTGCCGGTCTCTTCGACCACACGCCCCTGTGCTGTCCCTGTTCTGTCGGTCTCTCAGATTGCACGTCCCTGTCCTGCCCCTGTCCCATCGGACCCTTCGATCACACGCCCCTGTGCTGTCCCTGCCTTGTCGGTACCTTCGACCGCACCTCCCTGTCCTGTCCCTGTCCCTGTCCTGTCTGTCCCTTCGACCACATGTCCCTGTCCTGTCCCTGTTCTGTCGGTCCCTTCGACCACCCGTCCCTGTCCTGTCCCTGTTCTATCGGTCCCCACGACCACACCTCCCTATCCTGTCCCTGTCCTGTCCCTGTCCTGTCGGTCTCTTCGACCCACGTCCCTGTCCCGTCCCCGTTCTATCGGTCCCTTCGACCACACGTCCCTGTCCTGTCCCTGTCCGGTCCCCGGTGTTTTGTCTTCCATTGTCCGCGAGCACTGCGCTGAGCGTTACATGGAGTTACTGGCCGCCCAGGCCCGACGACTTTACCCCAGCCTGGCAGCCTTAAGATAACAAAATCAGAACGCGTTAAAAAGTGTGGCAATAGTTGTGGCCGTGTGTACTCTTTCCTGTGGTTACAATAATGTAATGAAAAAGAACACAAAGTTTTTAATGCCGTTTACTGATGTTAAGACTAGCAAGCATTTAAAATCTGAAGCCAGTGGGTGCGATGACCGCATGCATAAGAGCAGCGTGATGGAGGCGAAGTTACTACAAGTGAAGAGTTCATAAACGCGACGAATTCCTGTCTGAAGTTAACGTTAAACGCTGCCCAATAAATCCACGAATAGCGTTGGCGCTCGTAAAACAGGCTGCGGATCAATATTGATTCCCAATTCCTGCCCTTCTGACTGAACGTTTCTTTGAGAGCAGCAGAGCTGTGTGCGATTGTGAAGTACGCCACTGCTGCATTTGACCATCTTTAAATCATGACTGTACTGCGCTTGGTAATCTCCGAGGCCATGCCAACGCTCATGTTGTCCTGTTGCCTCCAGCACGACGCGTCCGTGGTGCTCTGAGTCTGCGACTTCCTACCACGCGTCCAGACTCAGCGCTGCCAAATTGTTGCCAAATGGACCGCCGGCGGCGGCGCGGGCCGCGCGTCCCCGGGGTTTGCGAACGTTTGCCGCCGTGATGCCGTCGGCGGTGAGAGGTCACGACCTGTGGCATGCACGCACATGCCCCAGGCGCTGCCGGGTGACCCCTGACCTGGGGCCATCGGGACCGAGCACCAGCGGACTGAGTGGTGACGGCCCAAGCGCGCCCCGGCCAAGGACGGTAGCCAGTGTGCAAGTGAGCGTAGTGCAAGTGGAACTCGTACGGCGGCAGGGGCCTGTTGAGTGTAATACCCCGCGCTGTGTGGTAGATACACTACGCCGGCGGGGTGCCGATGTGCGATCGTCATAACCGAAGTATGTTTATAAAGCGGACCTACGTCTGCCCACCCGGCCACCGCCGTCGTGTGCGTTGTTTGCTCGTTTACAGTTCGTTATGTGGCGCGTGCTGAACACCGTTAATACGTGGTTTTAGTTGTCCACCATTCTTCTGTCGTGACGCTCTTTGAGACCGCTGCCCCCTCTGGAAATGCTCTTCGAAGAGGAGACCGGAAGCATTCTTACGTTTGAGATAAGCTCACAGCTAAACGTAGCGGAGATGCACAGGTCTTTCCAGGCATTTTCACGTCGCGAATCGCGTCCCTAACAAAGCGCGTATGTCGAAACCCGGAGCCTACCGAACAAGGCGTAATCACATGCATGTACTCTGTATGCATAAATGGTGGTGTTGCCAAACTGCTGGAAATCCGCGTGTGCTCTTAAAAAACCCAGTTTCTTGCAAACTGGCTGTTCATTTCAAAAGGATCTGGTTCTCTACCTCAGCATCGGAGAAACACGAAGTCAACTTAACGTCATCCAGTGCAAGGTTAAAGGGCTCACAATACGGCTACGTTGTGGCTGGCGCCGAACTTTGCCCTGATTTTTGGCACACCGATCGGTCAAAATTCAGACTATACACTCCGTACCGTGCCATTTTATACTCTGCTCCACAATCGCCGTCGTCTTTTGCAATCCCTTCCGGCCACCCAGGAATGCATCGTTTTCTCAGACATCTCCGACAGGTTGTCATTATCTGTCAAATACTGTCTGAGGCTGTCTGATCGCCTCCCTCAGCGACCCTTCACGCCCCGCCGTCGCTCATCGTGACCCTCTGTCCCCACCCACCCGTCGGCCTCAGGTCGGCCTCGGGTCGACCTCGGGTCGGCCGGGGTCCGCCCGGCCGTTGGTGCTGGTCGGAGGATGCCTGAGGTTTGAGAACCCCTGTCGGTCGCGGCCGGTCCCGCCAGAGGCATGATGTGGTCAGCTGGTCGTCAGACGACTCCGTTAGTGTACTGAGGCGACGTAGACTGTGGTCGGGATCTTTTGTATGCGACGTGACATCTGACAAGCGGTTTTAATATGTTCGTCTGCGCCCTGGCTGTCGAGGGACATAATGTGTGCAACAGATAATACATGGAATACATATAGTGGACACTCGTCATACAACCGCGTCTTTGTTTGGGACGCTTAGGAACGTGGAGGTGACAATGAAGTCGCTGGACCCTTTCATATCATCGCGACTTGTATGATACAGCCACGGGAATGCGTTGGCAACGCGACGGAATGCGACGAAGGAATGGGCCAATCAACGCAACGCAGTCACCGAAATCCGCCAATCAACGCAACGCAATGCGACAAGTTATGGCACCATGAACTAACGAGCAATGTGTGCAAGTGGTAACGTTCCGCTGTTGTGCAATTGTTCTGGGCCTGCGCCTCATCCTGGGGAGACATTTCCACCTATTTCCATGACAATTGGGACATTTGGTTTGTCAGACCAAAGCCATTCACTCAGACATTGTGAACATCGATCGCATCCTTCTTCCGGTTCACCAGTGCTGCCGCCCTCTGGATGTGCACAAACGCGTGTGTCATGCACATGGGTAAATGTATTCATTCACTATCGGCAATGAAACACTGTGATGTGATTGGCCGCGGGCTCCGCAGTGAACTATGACGTCATCAGACGCAGCGTGCGCGCGCAGCGACCGACCAGCCGAGCAGTTTTCCGCCTTCTGACAACGCGATTTGTGATAGGCCAAAACGTCAGAGCTGGGACATGATTGGAGAAACGATGGAAAGCTGCCAGATCGGTCCATCGCTGCCAACGTGCCGCGTTTGGACTCGCACCCCTCCTGCAGAACACGGGCGCAGGAACACAGAGCTAACGTGTGCTCCTCCACTGCCGGCTACCGTGTCTGTTGCGGCGTGCTCCCTGCCGTACCCCTCCCCTTCCCTCCCCCAGTGACGTCACAGTTCCCGCACCGCCGTCGACCCAACCAGCGCTCTACGCAAAGGTCACTAGCTGCCTACGATGGTAGTGAAAATAAGCCATGTGGGACGGACGGTGCTGGTAGCGCCCCCTGTCCCTGCTAGACCACCAGGTGCCAAGAGGGGCCGGGGTCCTGAAGACCGGGACCGGGACCGGCGCCGACACCAGGGCCAGGACCCAGCGGATTTCGGCCGCCGCGTAACCAAGCAGGGCGTGCAGACACGCAGTGGCTCGGCCCCTAGCAAAGACCAACGCAGTCCTGCTCTGAAGTACCACCCCCTGGACCACAGCCCCCCGCCGATGGTGTCCCACGGCCGATGGTGTCCCCGCCGATGGCGTCGGCAGCCATCGCCCAGCAACTGCTCAGACTTGGGAGCGGCTGGCGGCTGGCTGGTGCGCCGGGCTGGACGCCCGTGGCCACGGGGGACAGAGGGCGCCCGCCAGCAGCCGTCCGCAACGGTTATAGCCCAGCCTCAGTTAAAGCTATATAACACACAGACACAGCTCCCGCGGCCGCCGGCCAGTCAGAGCGCGCGCCTCCGGACCAATCAGGTGTCGCCCCGTCCGGCCCGCGCAGAAACCGACCAATCAGGGACTCGCTCACTGGTGACGTCCGATCAAGCAGAGCGCGGGCGGTGCGACAAGCCACCGTCAGCACGCGCGCCCCGCCCCGCGCGCTGGGGCGTCGTAGCAGTGTTTCGTTGACCAGCCTTCGCTGCCTGGTAGTGGACAATGTTCGTCACGTCTGACCTTGCTAGAGACAGGCTTAGAAAAGTGGCTAAGAATCCATAGCGCGCGCCCTCTCGCTCACTACCCCTTTTGTACATGCTCAGTGACGACTATTTACTAACGCGTATTTTGATTTCTACACAACATTTAAATAAATCGCACACGCTCCTTTCGCCAGCATTGTCTGTACACTAAACGTAACCACTGTCGCTGCAATGGAAAGGAACATGCTGCATACTTTGTATATCACAAGCAGTTGTCAGCAGTGTGCGAACACGTCGGGGCGCGCCCCGTATTGCACATTGCGCCCGAGAGGCGCGGCCCAAGCCAGAGACGCTTTCTCTCGCCAGGCGGTGCGACTCGGACCAATCCAACGCCGCCCGCCGCGGAGTCACGCCCCGAGCCAGAGTCTGCCACCTACGCCTCGAACACGGACCGCCAGGCCGGCTGCTCACTCGAACAGACTGAGGATCTCCTCGGCGGTGGCGCTGGTGCTGGCGCTGACGTCACCAGCACCAGCGGCGGCCTGCTGGGCCGAGCCGCCGCTGCTGGGCGGCGTGGCCAGGTCGGGTGGGTCCAGGAACGACAGCAGGTCCAGGGGGTCCACGCTGTTGTCCGTGTACAGCTGCTGCAATGGGACAAGGGATTATGGTCAGCTACTGACGACATCACCACAATGTCGTGTTCAGTGTGCACAGCTGTTATCATATAAACGGGAAAGGAGTTATGGTCAGCTACTGAGGACACGGCCAGAGCGTTTTGTACTGCGGGCATACAGCTGCTGTGGGCACAGATAGGAAGAGGTTATGGGCAGCTGCTGTGACACAAACAGGAACAGCTTCTCTGAACACGTGCTCAAGACCAAGGGAGAGAAAAATCCGAAGCACTCTGATCACGTAACACGCTCAATTTTCTGCCTCTCTCAAAGCACGTGTTGCGCTCACTCCTCAACCACGCGCGCCAAATGCGTCAGCGCTGTCCGCTATCGCCCGTTCCTACCCACATGCAGTGAATCCACGGCGTGATGGCGGTGGCGGTGGGTGTTTCTCGTGGCTTTCCAGCGTTGCTATTACCTTCCAAATCCAACTGCGATCTAAGTGCCATGGGTCACAGGTTTTGGCGCGGTGGCCTTGCTTTACAACCCCGCACTAGAACCCCGACCCCGAACCCCGGCCCAGTGCCAAGATCCCGCGCTCCTACCTCTGTACAGGTAACCTGTACTGCAGCCCATGTGCCGTGACCCAGCGACCCCCCCCCCCCCCCCCGGCGGCCATCATCATCCACTTACGTCGAGCGCCTCGGGGCCACCCTGGCTGTCGCCCTCGGCGATGTCGGCCGGGTCAAAGGTCAGCTGACCGCTGAGGTCGGGCAGCTGCGGCTCGCCGCCACCAGATGCGCTGCTGGTCGGCGCCTCGCCGGACGGCGCGCACGACGTGACCACCGACGAGCCTGACATCAAATATAGGAATGACGTCATATATGGAAGTGACGTCACGCACAGACCCCCCTCCTGGAGGGCGCACAGTGACAAGTCTGAAGTCAAATGTGGGATCGCGACGTTGCACGCGGAGACGAGACATCACGAACATAAATGTACAGCACTGACGGCCACTAGCTGGCAGGCAGCGCGACACGACAGAGAGAGACAGTTGCTGATCTCGGATGCCAAAACTCTGAGACAGCGTCCGGGAAGGCGAGGAGGCCTTGGGTACCGAAGTACTTAGGACGGGTACCTCACCCCGGAAAGATCATCCTGGCGATGCTTAAGATGCAAAGCACCCTTAGCCCATCAGGCCACCTCACGCCAACGCCAAAGTTACGGTGGTCCGTTTTGGCAGCGCTACATTGTGGACCTCCCTCCCGGCGACGCAGGCCAATCAGCGGCGAGCGCGTGACGCAGCCTCACCATTGGAGGAGGGCGCGGCTGACGAGCCGGGGGTGAGCGGTGTGTGCGGTGTGTGCGGCGTCTGGGGAAGCGGTAGGCTGGCGGCGGGGCCGGCTGATGACGACGGCGCCAGCGACGAGCTGCCGCCGCCGCTCAGGCCGCCCATCTGGCGGACGGGACACGAACGTCAGCTTCCGCAGATTACCGCGCCCCGGCACGCGGGCGGGTCGGCGACGGGGCGCGAGGGCGAAAGAGAACAATCGAAGCCAAGAGCGACCCACTATTGGGGACAAAAGGGAGGGGGCGGTAACTAACGCCTCCAACTCCCAGCAACATTTAACTTTAACTCTATGGCGGTGCACGAAACAAATAAGGTAACAATCCTGTTCGCTTCCCACCTTCACATAGGTTCCACAGCCATTGATTGAAGTTCCTGCTTGCGTTTCGCAGCGACCGTGTAACATTGACCAAAGCTACGAAGCTGTACAAAGGTCAAATGCGCATGCCGCTCATGGAAGGTATGTACGCATCATTTACAAGTGTCAGAATATAGAATTAGGCACCGTCATGAAGCACGCAGACTTCCGAACCAATATCAGCCGCCGACTGACCGTTTCCTGCATGCTCTTCTCCATGGCGGTGAGGGGGTCCAGATTTTGGACCGAGTCCGTCAGCTGACTGAGCGCGCTGCCGTCCGGCTCGGCGTTGCCCGTGTATGACGTCACACCGCCGGTGGCGCCGCCCGCGGCCGAGTACGGCATCATTGAGCCGTTGTTGATGCCTGCCGCAGTCGCACATTCGGGAGTAAGAGTGCTGTAACGACACGGTTAACGACACGCTCCGCAATACACGACGACCGGTCTGAAAGCAATGACAATGGGATGACAGAAAGAGGGTCTTACGTTGCAAAACGGTGCTGGTGCAACTTGTAACTTGCAACTTGTAATCCACTATGATCGGCACCGGAGGCTGACACCACGCACTCACTGATATGTCCCGTAGATATTACGCTCTGCGCCCAGTGGAACATGCTCTGCGCCCTCTCCCAGCTGGACACCGAGGCACTCACTGGTCATGTCCGGCGGACAGTAGGGGGACATGCCCTGCGCCCCTCCCAGCTGGACACCGAGGCACTCACTGGTCATGTCCGGCGGACAGTAGGGGGACATGCTCTGCGCCCCCTCCCAGCTGGACATGGTGGGCATCTGCATGGAGGCCGGACTCATGGCCTTGAGCCGCTGCTTGTTGCACTGGCTCATGCCTTCCGACAGGGTATCCTCCTCCTGTGGACGACCACCGCACGTGTCAGCGCTCGCTGAGTGGGAAGGGGGAGGGACGAGCAGAAACAAAACCACTGGCGGCCTGCTAAAGACATTCTTCTCCCGGCAACGACCAGTGCCTGCTCACTGGGTGACATAACTCTCGGTAATCACTGCAAAGGACGGTCGGCAGCATCAAGACACTGCTCCTGGAAGGTCGTGAAGTGCCGAGACCGGACTACCAATGGAAAAGGTGAAAATCGTGATCAACTAATCATCCGCATCGTCTACAGAACGCCACACGTCCGCAGAGCCGTTATAAGCCGAACACGCTCCCGCGCTTCCGAACGAGCCCCGTCCCGCCAGCGTGGGCGACGCCTGAGCCATCCCAGGGCGCGGGCACCGCAGGGGTGGCCGGCCCTGGCGCGCTCGCTCGCGGCAGGGGTGTCCGACCTTTTTGACGGTGGCGCCGTTGCTGGCCCGCCAGCTGGCGGAGGCGTCGATGGTGACCTCGTCGACGTCCGAGTTCTGCAGCGAGTTCAGGATGCCCCAGATGTACTGGTCCACCTCAAGCCCCTCCAGTGGCGCCGGCTTGCTGCACATTATAGAACAGGCCAGGTCAGGTCAGGTCAGATAAGTCAGATCAGGTCAGGTCAGGTCAGATCAGGTCAGGTCAGGCGTACTGGTACACCATCAAGCCCTACCGCAGCGCCGTCTTGCCGCAGGTTACAGCGTACATTTAGAGTAAAACCAAAGGCCAGGTCCGGTCAAAGGTCAGTTCAAGTCGCAGGTCATGGCACGCATGGAAATGTAGGGCCGAGGCGGTGACGACCCTAGCGACGTCAAAATGACGTCAGGCACTTGTCCGCGGACGGCACAGCGCCACGTTCATCATTCGTCCACAGGCACGCCTTACTGCGTCACAGTGCCGTCATAATAACGTCAGAGCACTCGTCTGCGGACGAGACAGCGCCACGTTCACCATTTGTCCGCAAGCACAACCAATTACGTCACTATGACGTCATAACGCCTCACCTGCAGACGGGACAGCGCCAGGCGCCCCGTTCGCAGTTCATCTGCAGGTAGGACTCGAGGTCGAAGCACTGCACGTGCTTGCAGTCGTGGCCCCTGGCCGGCAGCGTGATCCGTTTGTACGTGATGGAGCATTTCAGCGAGATCTGCAGACCAGACACGTGCGGCGTGAGCGTGCGGGGCAACAAGCACGGGCTTCGGAGGAAATGGGCATTAGCCTGAGCCGTCGCCGGTAAGCGACTTGGACCCATCCGCAAACGCCAATGCTGCTTAGTACGTTGTGATTATAAATGCTACTTCGTAGTATCATGAAATGGAAGTGATAAGACAGTAATATTAACTTTATTCCTCGGAGAAACACCCGGAGAATAGAGGTATAGTTAGAACCCCACTATATCTCCGTTCTCCTGGTTTTTCTCTGAGGAATAAGGCCAATACCACTGTCTTATCTACGTGAATAAGGTTTCTCGCTAATGCACTGAACAATTTGCTAAATGGAAGTGATTTCAAAGTGCATGAATCGTTGCAAGTGGTCGAATATACTTTGCAATCGTGGCAGCAGACTAGGATTACAGCTGGGCGAAAACGAGCATCAGTCTGACAGCCCGCGCGGTCCGAAGGCATACACCAAGCTCAGACTATGACGGCAGAGTTAACCGACGCACAAATCCAGCTCAGACTTTGAAATAAATCCTGCTCAGACAATGAAATACAAGTACATGGTCGCCCTTTCTTCCCACCGACCCTCCTCTACAGCTGAAACCACGATCCGTCCCACGTTCCCGGCCGATCTCAGTTCACCGCCGACTCCGACTCCTCGCGGCCGACTCTGACTCGCCTTGATGGCGGTCTGCTCGACGCCGTCGCCGTCGCCGCCGCCAGCGCCGCTCAGCGTCGACGAGCTGAAGTTGCGCTTGATCTTGTTGATGCAGTGGTCGGCCGGCAGCAGCCGCTTCCGCAGCAGGCCGTGCAGCACGCTGCGGACGCTGGGCCGGTGCACCAGCTGCAGCACGAACAGGTGCGACTGCCGGAGCAGACGGCCGGGGTCAGGCACCGGTCACTGGGGTCAGGCAGAGGTCAGGCCAGCGGCGGATCCCGATGGCGGGGTCACGGGGCCATGGCTCGTTTGAGCCGAAGGAGCATCAATATCTCACGGTGAAAGAGCACCAAAATCCTTATTTTGGGTTCATATAACTTTCATTTGCAAGACGCACTAAGCTTCAGCGGCACCACAAACGATCTCAAACCTTAAAGCTTAAAATACCACAAAAAATGACCTTTTAAAATAAGGTCAACAAAATCAGGCGGATGATTCCGGTGGAAGCCATTTTACCGATTAAAAAATAAGAATTTGAAAAGCGGCCGAAATCCGAGTCAGCCAGCCAGCCAGCCAGCCAGCCAGCCAGCCAGCCGTGGGCTGTGACGCCGGCTTCACTCACGCAGCAGCAGGCGGTGACGGTGATCTGGATGGTGTTGCGGCCCGGCTGACAGAACTCCTTCAGGTTGAGCGGCCGGTGCGAGCCCTTGTTGTCGCCGCGGTCGATGTTTAGCGGATAGGCGTTCACCGATACCTGCACCGACGCCGGCCAGTTGGTGTCCATGTTGCGGTCGTCGTGGTGGAAACACTTGAGCTGTAGCTCCAGGTCCGACCTGCCGCCGCCGGACAGAAACATCTAGCGTCAGGGTGGAGAGGTCGATGGGACGCCAGAGACATCTGGCGCCAGCGCGGAGAGGATGTGGGATAGCAGCGTCGCATGGTAGCTGCGACTTCAACTCACTCTGCCGAACAAAAACGTCCCACAGCTGGCACAAAGACTTCTTGCGACCGGCGGACAGTATTGAGCGATGCGTCGATTTCCCGTCTGCTTCTTTTGCTCCCTGGATGGATTCCATCAATGGGTTACAAACTACGCAGCTTGTTACCACACAAACTAAGCAGCTTGTCGCCGCCGCGGGTCGGTCGGCGAACTCACCGCCACATCAGCGTCTGGTGCACCGTCGGCTTCAGGGGAAACTCGTGGTTGCTGACAGCCAGGTTGTGCTCCAGCCGGAACGGCGGCAACACGATACCGTCCCGCACCGGAAACGTTAGCCGCAGCTCGTCGTCTTCTGCGCGACACGACAGAACGCGTGTCAACATCGACTGTATCCATGGCAACGCGCGGCAGAACGCGCGTCAACATCGACTGTATCCATGGCAACGCGCGGCAGAACGCGCGTCACCAGGTACACGGTGGCGCCGGGCAGATACGGGCTCATCCCGCTTCGGAACACGATTTCTCAACGGACGAATCAAGGTCGACCGTTGGTCACCACCGCAATTGCACCGCCGAACAACAACACGAGGCCGCCTGCCACAAAAACGCGGCACAACAGGAACGCCATATTGCATGTCAGTGTCGGCTCTATAGAGCGTTATAATCGTAAGGGAATAAGGCTACCGCCGCCAAGGGCGTGATGGCCGTGGCCTGGTGCTGCTATTATTTGGCACGCAGTTGTGAGCTGGTGTAGGAGACAAGGCAACCACTCGGAGCGCGCTGGAGTGGTTCTGACCGGTGGGAAGTGGGGTGGGGGTGGTGATAAACAAGCTATTGTCACGACCGATGGCCAGAGGGCCAGGTGCTGTGACGGGTTGAATGATTCGAAGCACAAACAACCGTGACGAGTGCATTTGTAGTGTGAACGACTGCAGCGCGTGACAGATGAGGGGAAGCTCAAGCACAACCACGAAAATAGCACCTTGGAACACGGACGACTTGCATAAGCCGGAACAAATGCGGACCCAGAAAATCCGTCCCGGCGGGGGGAGGGGAAGGGAGTGCAAGGTCGGCTTCGGGGAAGCAAAGTCCAGTGAAGTGTCTCGGTTTTAAAAGCGCGTCGAATTTTTCTTCTTTCCGTCTCTAGTGTTCTAAAGCAAACTTTTCTTGAGGAATTTTGTAACAACACATTACAATACATTACATTATACACATTTCAATGACAATGACGAATTTAAATGACACCCTTCATATTTTATTCCATTTTCTTCAAAGTTGCAAACTATTTCCCCCTTCCCAACATTGACAATCTCGGGTGGGCACGTCCCGGTTCGTGCCTGGACCCGCTCCTGACGCCGTCCCCGCACCTGACCCACGGCGAGCAAGCGCCCGTAACGAAGGATACACGCGATCGTCCGCGTACCGCGCCGCCAGCCGCGTCGCTTCTGCCGCCCGCGCGCCACTCACTGGTGCTGTTGAGGTGCATCAGGCTCGGCTTCACATCCGCCCCGGGACTCAGATATGGTAGCCCGGCGGCCGGCGTCAGCGGCGGCGTCGGGTTGCCAGGGATCGGCGAGTGCTGGTAGTTCATCGTGTTGCCAGACACCGGGCTGCGGGGAGGGGCGGCGAAAGTTCATTGCGTTGCCAGACACCGGGCTGCGGGGAGGGGCGGCGAAAGTTCATTGCGTTGCCAGACGCCGGGCTGCGGGGAGGGGCGGCGAAAGTTCATTGCGTTGCCAGACACCGGGCTGCAGGGAGGGGCAGCGACAGTTCATTGCGTTGCCACACACCGGACTGCAGGGAGGGGGTGGCGACAGTTAGCGGTCGCCGCGGGGCAGCGATCGGAAAACAAAGTGCGGCGGAGGGGGTGCGGTGCAATGGTATACGGAAACATTTGCGCCGTCTGTTCAGTAAGGTAAATTGGTTATCCCGTGTTTCGGTCACCCGCGAGTTGTGGCTCACTATCACAAATACGCGATGGTTCAGAAAAAAGTTCATAGGCACTGTTAGCTTGCATTTACAAAAAAAAAAATGTTGCCAGTCTCTGAGCCCGTTGTTTACGCAGAAAGGTCGTGGTTTGGCAAAAAGTTCCAGATTTCGTCTTCATGGAGTTGGAAATTATCAAATAAAACTCGAGCAACCACGCGAAATCACGGAAATCCAAGCTCCCAGTCATCTCGTTCGCACAACGGAAGGGGCTGTTCCAGGGACAACGCAACACATGAGCTCGCGCCCGGCCGCGTCCCGTCGCTGCCACACCTCCAGCGGCCCGTGTCGACCCAAACCACCGCGGAGAACCACCGGACCGGTGGCGCCGCTCGGCGGCCGACGGCCGAAGCTGGCGGCCGTCGCCGACCGCACGCTATCGGCGACGGATCTGGCCGCGGCCGACCGTAATGTCGGGCCGGCGAGTGTCGCACGCGCAGAGGCGACGCCAGCCGCGCCGAACGGGGAGGCGTGCGCCGCGCAGCGCGCGAGCACGCGCGGCCCGCGTCTGACGCGCCGACCTTGAGTGCCGGGCGACGATGCGTCGGGGAGGGAACGGGTCACACACCGATCCAGCTCCCGTACCTCGTCACGCACGGCTCTAGCGACGGGCCACGGCCACGCAGGAACGTCCGCAAATCAAAACGGACAAACCACCTTGGACATTAGCTATTCCCACGCGTCGCCGCATTTGCATAATACGGTGATGTCCTCTGCGTCCTCATCAGAAGCGGGAGGCCCACGGGTCACACCCGGACCACGCATTCCCACGCCATGTTGATGTCTGACGGCTGCGCGGGCATGGCCCATTTACCCAGCCACGCACGTCTGCGCTCCCCGCCCTGAAGCGACAGTGCTGCGGCGACACCGCGTCAGTCACCTACATTGGCAGCTGGCCGGGCACGAGCGCGGAGGCAGCCGGCAGCGCGGGAGGTGCCGGGTGCTGCGCAGCCTGGGCTGGCGAGCTGCGGACACGGACCGGGGCTACGGACAGCCGAACCACGAACTCCTGTGTCACCTAATGTCCTTCCCAGGCTGGTGATGGACCTGTTCTCGTGCTCAGGCCCGAGCGTTGTGTGATGTGGGACTTTCGGAGCATGTAAAAATAAAGGGGGGCTAAACGTAAAGAGGTTGCTGACATGGACGGTGCGATATGAATGGCTCTTTCAAGTCACATAACAAGTCTGCGTTCCCGTTGTTTAGTCGAAAAGAGCGGCTGGGTCAGGCACTTCCAGCCCTCACTTCACCTCATGTCGGGCGGTTTGTGTCGTTTTAGGCGCTCGCTCTCTGCCCACGACTGGGATGGCATGCGGACGGTGGCAGCAACCGCACTCAAAGATCAGGTGACTGTAGGGGCAGGACGGATTGTGCCCAGCTTAATGGAGCCTTTGCCGCAACATTTGGCGCTCGCCGAGTTTCGCGATCGGATGGTGGGGTTCAAGCTCACACGGCAAACACTACTGCGCGGACGCTGATCCCATCGGATGGTGGGGTTCGAGCTCACACGGCAAACAACTATTGCGCGGGCGCTGATCACATCGGTTGGAGGGATTCGAGCTCACATGGCAACGCTACTGCGCGGACGCTGATCCCCGAAAACCATCCAACTGAAAGCTCCAATCTCTACCTTAAAACAATTAACATGAAAAAATGAACGGGCTCGGTCAACACATCCCCAGATACTTCTGTGAACCATTTTGCAGCATTTAACACAAGTGTCCAGTAACAGGTGGGAGGGAGGTTCACCCACCCTGTCATGGAGGTTTAATATCAATAGACGTGAGATACCTCCTAGACGTTAGATACCTCCGTACCTAAAGGTTTAATAGCTCTAAAATAAGGACATCCGAGTCATGTTTTGGACTTCGGAAATCTGCTAACAAAGCTTGTTGCGTATATCTGAACCCACACCCCCGCGCTGATAAAATAGTGATGCACGGAAAGGTTTCCTGCAGACGGGGATGACAAAAGTATGCTTTTACCTCTTGAAAATTTTGGGAGGCCCCTTTCGCCCAAACTGAAGGTTTTGTAGCCACACATATCTTACCAAAGTTCGGATGAAGGAGGTCATCATCAGCGGAGCTACGAAGTTCTAAATGGGGTCCCTGAAGATCCTTTTCTGCATGCAGAGGGCCATTTTTATCAGGAAGTCTTATCTTAAATAAAGGAGGCCCCTTTCCTGGCTCGGAAGTCCCGTCATAAACCAGGAGTCTCCTGTTCTGAACTAGGAGGCACGCTTCATACCATGGTGCCCCCGCATGCGCCAGAACGTCATTGCTCCCGGTGAGGATATCTTGCTTCTGGCTAATGAGACCCTTTGCCGGATTTGGCGGCCCCCAGTGGGGAGGCCCTATTCCGCCCAGGAGGCCCCCTGGTAACGTATGCTCCCTCCCCAGCATAGAATGCGTGGGGTAGCCCCTGGCTTGTAATACATATATATATATATATATATATATATATATATATATATATATATATATACATATATACATAGACATATACTTTAAAAATACATAAATATGTATATAAGTATGCATATATATACTAGCCGCCTTCAGACACGGTGTGGTCTTTGCACCTTTGGCTCTGATTTAGTGGACCTGTCCTGGCCAGTCTTTACCACATGGCCTGTTTCCTTCACACCCCATGTTCTGTATCGTAGTAACGCGCATCTCGCTTTTTAGAGTAATAAACAAGACCATACTTCTTCCTCCAAGGAGCGTCAAACACGATCTGGTTGCGCTGTACAGCGGCTCTATACAACAACGGACTGGAATAGTGATCGAGCAGCAACGGGAAATACCGTGAAACACTATTCGCAATGGTGATGAATACGTAGCACCCGGTCTCCCGTCCAGAACACCAAAAACATCATCACGATCCCACTACAGGCTAGCGATAATGTAACAGCCACGCCGGGTGAATACCAATCGTCACGAACACTGAGCGACGCGACGAGCCAGTAACCAAATGCTGATCCCATCAATTACAGGTTTACGACGCCCACTCGGCGCTAAGTGGACACACGTCTACCCACCGTGGCACGTTTACGACACCGGATCGGCCGAAAACAGGCGCCGTAAAACGCAGCCACGACGCCGGCCCGTGTGCCCGTGGGGAGCGCGCAGTGCAAGCGCACCTCCTGACATTCCTACCGTAAAGAGTCGCTGCGGTCACTGTACAGAGTCATTGCGGAGGTCATGATGCGGTCACTGTAAAGAGTCACTGCGGAGGTCATGATGCGGTCACTGTAA